CTGAGTCAGGAAGGCGTTCTTCAAGTCATCCCAGCTAGTAATAGAGTTTGGTTTCAGGGATCTAAACCACCTTCTTGTAGAAAGATGGTTCCTGAACGCCTGACATATGACCTTCTCGGGGTGCCCATGAAGGACCATGTGCCATGTGTAGACTTCTAGGTGGTCATCCGAATCACTCCTTCCATCGTATAGCGGAATGGGGGGTGGCTTATACTTATCGGGCATCGGTACGCGAATGATGTTCTCTGTGAACGGGTGGTCATGACGTGTATATCTTGGCGTCGATGTTTACAGCCTCAACAACCTTTCCAACAACTTGTCAAAGTTGTTTAGTCGACTCCCTATTTGCTTTTCTAGTCTGGCCATCTTCTCAGCTAGAACCTTATTCTCGGCCATGAGCTCTTCCTCTTTGGTCTGCTGCATATCTCGATCGCGTCAAGTGTTCAGCTGTCCTCATAGGTCTCCACCGTGTACGGACGAAGATTCTACCGGAACAACGTTTCTCCGGTTACCATTTTCTTGTGGTCGAGGGGCATTTCTCTGTTATTCACTGTCTAGGTTGCAGCCCTCTCCTGGGCTCTTTTTCTGGCAGCCCATTGTCTGCTCCCTACAGACCTATTCAACTTGGCTGGACGGGGGTTATTGTTGGCCCCACTGTCACTGACCCCCTCAGCATCACCGTGTTGGTCACCAATCATTTGGTTCCCAAGGGTGGCGTTCACTAGGTTCATTGACGCATCCTCCAGCGATGGCATCGAATTTGGCCTTTGATCCCATTCAACGAGGGCTGTAGCCATTCTTTTTATGTCCACAATGAGTGTTTTGACTTGTCTTTGAAGCAGGTCAAGGCGATCTGGGGGATTTCCAACGGCCGGTGGGTTCACCTTGCGATTGGGCAGTACTCTTGCTAGTTCCTGGTTTCTGTTGGGTGGATTCGTCAGATTTTTTCCTCCAACGGTAGAATTCTAGCCTTCCTGCTTTTCTGAGTAGCCGTCATGCTGCGAGTGTTTCTTAGAGGCATGTTCACTGCTTTTGCTGGATTTGATTTCTGGGTTTAGGCCCTCTTTCTAGCGTCAATTGTTGATGATTTAATTTAGTCAACTAAAAATTAACTCTTCGGGAACACTTGTAGATGTCTCTCACAGATTAAATCAAGAATTAACATTGTAGAAAAATAAAAAAAACACCGAAGTTTATATGGTTCGGCAAGAACTCTTTGCCTACGTCCACTTGTGGATGCACTAGTATTCTGTTGATCACAATCTTTTTTTGTAGTAAAAATGGTGTGTAAAAAACTTTATGAAGGAGGCAGACGCTATTTATAGGCCTTTTACATATTAGAGATCTCCTCTACATTTTCTGAGGAGATCATCCCCTTACCCCCAAATCTTGGGTTCGGACAGTTGTACTTCCATGATTTCGGCTCCCAAATCAGGCCAATGACCTTTATCGTTATCTGATTTCCTAATCCGAATCGTGGCAGTTGTTACAATGTATTTTTTCTTGAGATGATAGGATTTGATTTAGATTTGACCGGGCTGCTTTCTCGACGCCGTGAACCTCACGGCTTAGGCGGAGTTCTCGACGCATATCTTCCTCATGCATGAACTCTCGTCGTCTTGAGGGCATCCTACGTATGACCATTTCCTCAACGTCAGTGACCAACTCTCGACTGAGAATATCTCGGCGCTTTGCAGTCAAAGGAACGATCGATTACTCGACCGTGGCGTAACAAAAAATTTTCCACGGACTTTTGACTGGTGATTGTTATACAACCATACCGCCGAGTCCTCAAGTCAAAATGAAGGAATGAGTTTCAAGAACTATGCTCAGCACTTTAGCATACGTCATCTTAAGTGATTCTGCTCAAGCACTTGGAGTGATTTTCTTTTTAATTTCCAATTTTTATCTAGGTAATATACATTTAGAAAGCTGAAAACGTTATTAAATGAAAACACTATTAACCCAAAAAAACTGATATAATAACCTCAAAAACACAAACACCCATAATTCAAAATAAAAAATAAAAAAAAAACTCAAAAACCTGCATAAGTTTTTTCAAGTATCTCAAAAACCAGCCTCCAGTGCTAACAAAAAAAAAAAAAACTTCACAGAACCAATAATATCTTCACCTTTCCGTCTCTGATCAAGAATCTAAACTCCCAGAGAACAAAAACATGAAAAAAGAAACGTGAATTTCTCCTTCTCCTCCACAATTAGGGTTCGTCTTTGTTGTGTGAGAAAATTCACATTGACATGTCAGACAACAACCAGGCCACACGTGGCTGCATTCTTGCCACGTCATTTAGCCCTCGACGCCCAAGACTCTTGGGTTCCTCCTGTATGGCAGGGGAGCCCAATGTATGACCGAGACCGTCGACCGTATACACAGTCGAGGTCTGCGAGATCAGTCTTATACAAAATTGTGTGATGAAGTCGGCCGTGAAAGAAACCCTCGCAAGAGGTCAGCATAGGCGCAGACGGCAGACTGCAAGCAGTTGGACCCACGTCCTAAGAAAGACCCCAGAGAAGGTTGCGTCTGGATTTAGAGAAGGTCAGTTGCATAAGAAATGATTACAAAGCCCCTAAAACCGCCTGGAATGGATCACTAGCTATTACAGAGATCCACAGAGCCGTAATGGGGGGACAAATTGGATGAGTTCCAAAAGGTAATTGTAGGCTACGGTCTGCACAGAAGAGACCATAGGCCACTCGAGTGGGCGGGCCCCATGAAGGATACGATCCACTGGTCCAAACTGCCTACCATTGGGTAGAAACTGAGGCAACATGGACTATAAAAGGGAAGAGCCCCCGAAAGGGAAGAGGATGAACATTTAGTTCCTTACATGCACGTAATTTGTAAGAGCTTACTCAAGAGAAATAAAACACAGTGAATGTAGCCCTTGATTAACAAGGTGAACCACCATAAAATTCCTCTGTGTTCATACCTTCACGAGCATAATTTTATTTTCTTCATATTCTAGTAAAAACTCACCTGCAAAATCCAATATATTCACTAAAAACACAAGTTCTGAACCGGTGACCCAACGGGCCACTGTGGGTAATCCGGCACGGTTTTTGTTGACAAAATTCCACTGTCAATAATTGACGACTCCACTGGGAACCGAACCCAGAATCTCTGGTTCACGACTTCAACCCCACACAACAAACGACCATGCCTCCGCGAAAGAAAAATGGTGTTTCAAATCCGACAAGCCAAATGAAGGAAAACCCGACCAACAGTGGGGCTAGGATAATCAGCCCGACCAGGGGGAACAACCCCTAGCGAGGGATGAGGCTCCAACCACTGGCGCACCGCCGCCAGACCCAGTGCATATGCAGGCCAGGCTAAACATTCTGACCGACTTGGTTCGAGGACTGAAGACCGTTGTTGAGCAATTATAGGGAAGAAATTCCATACCTCCCCTAGAAGATGCTCCGAGACCACCAGGAGCTGTCATGGTTGGGAACCAGGATGCTGGTGACCACCAAGGTGCCCCGGAAGGGGTCGGGGATAGTGAAAACACTAGGGGAGATAATTCAAGACTTCGGCTGGGTAAGTCCCTTGGTAGCCGACAAAGGGCTGCCAGGCGATGAACCTAGGAGAGAAGAGCGCTCGCCGGCCTGGAAAACCCTGAGGCGCCACCTCGGAACCCAGGGAGGAATATCCCAGGAGACTTGGGGTCGGTGCAAGAAGGCAGATACCTGAGGGATAAGTTGAACACGAAGAAGGCTGGAGCCTCAAAAGGGATCAGCTCAACAATCTCGACGGAGGAGGCTAGGGCTATTATGGAGCGTGTGGCGAGCCTAGAAGAAAAGTTCACAGGTGACATCGTTGGCCTAAAGAAAGATGTTAAAAACTTGGTAAGCCACCGACAGAAAAACCTGGGACAGGTGGCGAAGGTGGTCAATGTCGACATTATGCCAAGCCGAACGCACGACCATCCCTTTACCGCAGAGATCATGGCGCCGCCTTTACCCGACAAATACAAGTCCCCGACGATCCCACCGTACGACGGCAGAGGAGATCCCGACGATCACCTGGAAATGTACACAGACTCTGCCAGAAGATTACATGCTTTTTCACAGATTCGCGGAGGAAATAATGTGCCGAGCGTTCCCAAACCACCTGACGGACTCCGCCAGAAGATGGTTCCGGATGCTTAAACCCGAGTCCATCTCCAGTTGGGAGGAGCTGAAGGAAGCCTTTTTCCTCCAGTTTATCGGGGTAAAGAAATATATCCTGCCAAAGTAAAACCTGACAATTATGTACCAAAAACTGAACGAGTCATTAAAGGAATGGCTTGCAAGGTACGGGGAAGCTGTCGCCGCTACAACGGACATGACGGACCGAGAGGCTCTTACGGGGGCCTGTCCAGTATGAAAAAGACCACTCCGTTTAAACGCAACCTGAACCGAAAGCCCCCAGCCACCTATAAAGAGTTTCTGGACACTTTAAGATCCTTTTTCAAACCTGCTCCCATTTCGAGTCAAGAGATAGATAAATAGACACATCCCATTACACTGATCGGGGGCGTTCGCAAAAGAAGTCGATGTGAACAATCCCGAGCACAGGTCTAATAAAAACAAAGGGCTAGAACAAGGGCCGACCTCGGGAAAGCAAGACAACCGGAAAAGATGAGGTGGGGGAAGCAGAGAGAAACAAACCCCGTCGACGCCAAACCCTTCGAAGACAAAGAAGCCGGGGCCGGATGAGAATCGGAAGCCTCGGCCGGTCCAAAGGTACGACTCTTACCATGAGCTTACTGTCGACGTCGAGGAAGTATTCAATCAGGTCGGACGAGGCAACCTATTGCGCCGACCCAAACCGATGAAGTCAGACCCAAACCGAAAGAACCAGGGCAAGTATTGCCGGTTCCATGGCGACGTTGGCCACAATACGAACAACTGCGCCGACTTGAAGGATGAGATCGAAAGGTTGATCCGGGAAGGAAGGCTGCAAGAATTCAAGGCAAAACGGCGAGGCCATGGTCCCAGAAATGACGGTTGACGTCGAGAGGAGAATCGGCGAGGCGAAGATCGCGAGCCGGTCGGCGTCATAAGAACCATACACAGAGGGCCATATCTTGGAGGGGATTCAAGGAAATCTTAGAAAAGTTATGCCCATGAGGCTAGGGAGGTATACCAGGAGAGGTTCTGGACTCTCTCCGTTACCAAGGTGGCAAAGTTTAGCATCACGGACGTGGCATTCACCGAGGAGGATGCCAACGGGGTCCATTTCTCCCATAACGATGCCTTGGTGGTAGAGGTAATTATTGGAAACCACACCGTGTGCAGGATCCTGGTGGACAACGGGAGCTCGATGGATATTCTATACACCGACTGCTTTGGAAAAATGGGAATTCCAAAAGAACAACTTGAGAAAACCACCCGACCGTTGTTTGGATTCACGGGCGACTCGGTCATCCCCCAAGGAACAATCCGATTGCCCATCACCGTGGGAGAGAGACCCAGGCAGGCCACCACAGTGGCAAACTTTGTTGTGATAAAGGGGGGCTCACAGTATAATGCTGTAATTGGAAGGCCGACCCTCCAGGCACTAAGGGCAATAACCTCCGTTTATCACCAGAAGGTAAAATTCCTAACCCCCGATGGCGTAGGATAAATGAAGAGCAACCAGTACGAGTCTAGAGTAACGTACTCAGATGCCAAACGCGGGTATGACCAGCCGGGGAAACAAGAAGCAAGGATGGTACGACAGGGACCAGTTGAGGACATAGATCCCAGGTCACGAAAGAGACATGGTCCCAACCAATTGAACAGCTGGCGAAAGTCCAGGTGGATAAGCATGAATCGATAAGGGTACTGAAAATAGGGTCAGACCTGCCGCCGGCGCTCAAAATCGAGGTCGAGGAATTCCTGAGGAAAAATCTGGATGTGTTCGCCTGGACGCATGCGGACACGGTAGGCATCGACTCCCAAGTCATATGCCACGCTCTGAACGTCGACCCTACTTTTTCCCCAAAATGTCAAAAGAGCCGACCAATGAACCCAGAAAGGTACATGGCTCTAAAGGAAGAGGTCGACAAGCTCACACAAAACGGTTTCATCTGGGAGGCTCATTATCCCAGATGGGTTTCAAATCCTATCCAGTAGTAAAACTTAATGGGACGTGGATTTTAGCAACCTCAACAAGGCTTGCCCAAAAGACAGTTTCCCACTTCCACGAATAGATCAGATGGTTGACACCACTGCTGGGCATGAGCTGCTGAGTTTCATGGATGCCTACTCCGGCTACAACCAAATTCTGATGCATCCATGTGATTAAGAGCATATGTCGTTCATAACTGACAGAGGTCTTTACTGCTACAAGGTAATGCCCTTTGGCCTAAAGAACGCAGGGACAACGTACCAAAGGCTAGTAAACAAGATGTTTGCTAATCAAATCGGACGAATGGTGGAAGTATATGTCGATGACATGCTGGTGAAAAGCACCGAGGGCAGGCAGCACGTCGACCATTTGAGCGAGATGTTTGACGTACTGAGAAAATACCGCATGAAGCTAAACCCCCTGAAATGTGCTTTTGGGGTCGGATCCGGGAAGTTTCTTGGCTTTATGGTCAGTAGCTGAGGGATAGAGGCCAACCCGGAGAAGATAAAAACATTGCAGGACATGAGGTCTCCCGCAAAGCCAAAAGAGGTCCAAAGGCTCATCGGATGCGTCGCCGCCTTCAATAGGTTCATATCTAAAGCGACGGACAAATGCGTTCCCTTTTTTGATATTTTGAAGGGAGGAAAGCGCTTTGAATGGACGCCTCAATGTGAAGAAGCCTTCCAGAGGCTAAAGGAACACCTTGGCCGGCTCCCCATCCTATCAAAATCCATACCTGGTGAGAAGTTAAGCCTCTACCTCTCCGTCTCAAAGAACGCCGTAAGCTCGGTTTTGATCAGAGAAGAAGGAATCCAATTGCCAGTCTATTACGTGAGCAAGAGGCTCCTAGACGCTGAGTCAAGATATACTCAGATGGAACAGTTAGCTCTCGCCTTGATGGTGGCCTCAAGGAAGCTTTGGCACTATTTTCAGGCCCACACCATACGAGTCCTAACAAACCACCCGCTGAGGCAAGCATTGTAAAAGCCTGAAACTTCAGGTTGACTCTTAAAATGGTCGGTGGAGCTAAGCCAATTCGACATCGAATACATACCGAGGGTGGCAATGAAGGGACAAGCATTGGCAGACTTCCTGGCCGAGTTCTCCCATCAACCTACGGTAGACGCCGACGAAAGAGTTAATGAAATAGGGTGGAAGCTTTACGTAGATGGAGCGTCGAATGAAACCGGATCGGGAGCCGGCATCATGCTAATAAGCCCAGAAAGCCACAAAATCACCTCGGTGGTACGATTTAGATTCAAGGTGTAGAACAACGAAGCGGAGTATGAGGCATTGATCGCCGGATTACGGTTAGCTAATCATCTAAAAATCGAAAAACTTGAAATTTTTAGTGATTCGCAATTAGTGGTAAGGCAGGTGACAGAGGAGTATCAAGCGCGAGGAGAAAGGATGGGGGCCTATCTAAGGAAGGTAGAGGAAGAGCTTACCAAGTTCAAAAGCTATGAGATACAACAAGTACCAAGAACCGAGAATACAAATGCCGACGCCTTAGCCAAGCTAGCATCCTCTAAAAACTCAGACCTATTAGGGGTCATCCCCATTGAGGAGTTGGAATGACCAACCATAGATGAAGCAATAGAAGTCCTGACTATCCAGACAGTCGGTGATTGGATGACACCACTCGTCCGGTACCTGATGGACGCCGAATTGCACAATGACAGAGACGAAGCCAGAAGGATTAGGTACAGAGCTGCCAGATACTTGCTATATGATGGTCTGCTATATAGGTGAGGCTTCTCGACGCCTTTGCAGTGGTGCCTAAATGATCGCGAGGCATAGGAAATCCTCAGGGAGATCCATGAAGGAGTGTGTGGTAATCATACTGGGGGTAATCTCCAGCTCTTAAGGTTTTGAGGTAGGGGTACTATTGGCCTACGCTTAAAAAGGACGTATTTCAATATGCTCGGCATTGCGATAAGTTCCAACGATATGCCACAATTCCTAGAGCGCCCCCAGAAAACCTAACTTTCATTCTTAGCCCATGGCCTTTTGCCAAATGGGGAATCGACCTGATTGGACCTCTACACCTTGCACCCGAGGGCCTTAAGTTTGCCATCGTCGCTGTGGACTACTACACCAAGTGGGCCGAGGTGAAAGCTCTTACTTCGATTACCGAGGCAGCCTGCACCAGCTTCATATGGAACAACATTGTATGCAGGTTTGACGTTCCATACTCAATCGTGTTCAATAATGGGAAGCAGTTCGACAACGCCTCGATGCGTAAGTTTTGCGATGATTTGGGCATACGAAAGGAATTCCAGCCCTGATACACCCGCAGTCCAATGGCTAAGTGGAGGCCATCAACAAGATCCTAAAGTATACCCTGAAGAAGAAGCTCGATGACTTAAAGGAAAAATGGGCCGAAGAACTTCCCAAAGTCTTGTGGGCATACAGAACGACGAGTTGAACCACCACGGGAAAAACACCATTCTCTATGGCATATGGAACTGAGGTTGTTCTCCCTGTGGAGATTGAGACGCCAACTCTAAGAATGGTCGTGTATGACGCCGACATAAATATGGAGGCCATGAACAGAGAACTCGACCTATTAGAAGAAAAAAGGCTCGACTCCCAATTACGACTCGCCGCCTACCAAAGAAGGGCATCCCGATACTATGACAAAAAGGTCAAACGAAGAAGGTTTGTCCCAGGAAACCTGGTGTTGAAAAGAGTGACGCAGAGCACTAAACCAAAAAACACTGGCCCCCTGGGCCCGACTTGGGAAGGACCTTACCGCATAAGGGAGATGCTACGCCCAGGAACCTACGTTTTGGAAAGCCTCGCCGGCAAACAAATCCAACACCCATGGAATGCAGAACAGTTAAAACTGTACTACCAATAGTGTACAAATTCTTACATGCTTTAATTGTGTTTGGTATTTCATTAATACAAACGAAGCTTATTTATAGCATGTGTCCAAAAGTCAACCCCTTAAATATGTGTACCTAAAAATCAAAGTTTTTTGAACATGCACGGGGGGAGTATAGGGTCTACGGTTCACAAAAATATGCATATACCCAAATAAAACATCGTCTCCTCAAAGGCGAGAGACGAGTTACTTAGCAAATTTCAAGGAATTTGCTAAGACGATGACCCTAAGGGGCAAAATAAAACGTCATCTCCGCAAAGAGGAGAGACGATTTACTTAGTAAATTTCAAGGAATTTGCCAAGACGATGACCCTAAGGGACAAAATAAAACGCCGTCTCCTCAAAGAGGAGAGACGATTTACTTAGTAAATTTTAAAGAATTTACCAAGACGATGACCCTAAGGGGCAAAATAAAACGTCATCTCCGCAAAGAGGAGAGACGATTTACTTAGCAAATGTCAAGGAATTTACCAAGACGATGACCCTAAGGGGCAAAAGAAAGATGAATCGCTTAGCAGAATTAGCAAAACTAAAAAAAAAGTATATATAAAGGCGATCAGATGCATAAGACAAAATATATATAGAAAATATATGTATACATATACATGATCTATTGTCTGAATATGTGAAATAATATTACAAAAAAAAAAAAAAAGATGAGAAGTTACACTTCGACCCCCACTATCTTAGGCCTCAACGCCTTGGCTGCCACCGCCTTGGCTACCACTACCTTGGTTGCCCTCGCTGCCATTAGCTACCGCGTCCACAGCCCCATCATCGCCCTCGCCCTCGGCAGGAGAACCCTCGTCATCTGAAGGGGGCTCATAGAGGAAGTCCAAGTCAAGGCCAGGCAGATGCCTGTTAATCCTCGCCACGATCTGCTAGCCAACAGATAGCATGTCGCTGTCACGCATGTCATGCAACTCCTCAGAGGCTTTAAAATCCTCGACAACCTTGGTAGCGACGACCGCATTATTTTGAGCAAACTCGGTAGAAGCCACAAACTCCTTAGCTCCTTCCGCCTTGCCCAGGTCATAGCCCTCCTGCTTACTAAGGTCGTATCCCTCATTTCAGAAGATATTTTTGGAGTTGGCAGCCTCTTTGCGGACGCGTTCAGCCTCATTCTTGGCACGCTCTAGATCTACTTTCACTTCCTCCAGCTCCTTGGCGACGCGGGTAAGCTCCTTTGAAGTCTCCTCGTGACTATCTTTTGCCTTTTTTAGGAGAGCCTTCAAACGTCCCTCGACGCGGTCCGTTCCCCTACTTCTCTCGTCCACCTTAACCAAGTCCAAGAAGTTGAGAATAGGGAGGACGAGGGATTGCCAAGTCAAAAAGAATTTGTTAATATGGAAAAAGAAAAGAGAGAGGAAGACCAAAATGCATGACACAAGGGGCAAAACGTACATGGATCTGGAGGGAGATCTGTTGGCGCATGTGGCTGACCAAGGAAGCCCAAGTCGCGCCATCCCAGTCCTGCTCAAAGAAGGACTCGTACAGAGCATGGAAGACGACGGAAAAGTGCGGGGGCAAACTCAGTGCAGCTTCAATCTGGGCAGAGGCAATATCAAGAACAATAACCCTTTGCCCGGGAAGCAGCAGGCGCTCTTGGGGCGGAGGGGCCTCTGAAGCATTAGTGATATCGATCACCGGTGATGGCTCGGTCTCATCCGGTCGAGGCCTCTTTTGCCTCGTCGTCCCCCGGGAAGGAGAAGGCTCGACGGTAGATGGGAGCCTCGGCGGGACATTGGCTGCAGGAGGGTCACTCGACTGCTCACTAGGTGTCGCCTTCTTAGAACGCCTCTTCTCGCCAGGCACACGTAGTTGCAATTTCTTCATATCTACGTCACAGCCGAAGTTAGAAATACATACTGATGACACGTAAAAAAAAACATTGAAACTGACCTCCGGCCGTGAAGTTAAAGAAATCCTTGACCTCGACGGTATTGTTAGGGGAAGGAAGGGAAAGTAGCAAACCAGAGCTCTCCAAGTTGTCACGTGTTAGGAAAGTGCTGACGTGACAAAAGGACTCTGGGAAGAGGAAGGGCTTTTTCACCCTCGCGAGGTGATTCCCAGAAAGCTGGGGACGGTCATGAGGAACTAGGGGCAAAAAGAGTCAGCAGTATATAATAAAAGAACAAGCACTGAAAACAGGCGGTTGAAAGCAACTCACTCAGCGTCCTAAAAGATGTACTCATGCCTCGGTGCTTAAAAGGCGGGTCAGCTGGGTGAACGTCGAACATGCCCTTCACCATAAAAAACATCGGCTTCCAGGCATGTGACGATGAAG